AATAAAAACATTAATTTTATTTTCAACATCAATAATTCATTTATAATTTTAATTAAATAATTGATAAAATTAAAATCACTTTTAATTTTTTTTTATAAATTAAAAATTTTATTAGAGGTAAAAGATAAAATTAACTTTTTAATTACGTTTTAGAAAAATTTTGTTGAACTTCACCAAACACTCTTTTTATCTATTTTTTGTAATAGACTATAGAAAATAAATATCATGATTTTCTCTAAAATCAAATCTAGAATTTAAAATATTAGGGGTAGCTTAGAGAACAAGACTTTCACAATGGGCGACCACTTAAAAAATGTTCAATTCATGGACTTAAGATCTCCTGAGAATCAAGTGGAAAACTCTTAGCCGTCCATCGCCGCGCAATGTTTACCGCAAAAGTTGCGATAAAATTACAACCGTATCACATCATACAGACCAGCTTGCACCTAACTTCCCATTGATCCTGATTATCAAGGTAGTATCAGCTGTTAGATTTTGATATGCGTAGCTGCTCTCCAGAGGACATAGAAAAGAGTTGTTTTTTATTGTATAATTAAAATAAAAAAATTGATAATTATTTTAAAAAGTGAAAATAAACATCTTTTTAAACTTAAAGAGAAATTAAAAAGTTTTTTTTATATATATTATGTTTTTAAGATTCAGTTAAAAATATATTAATTACATATTTTTAATTAATTATTATAAAAATAATAAAAATTAATTTTAATTTTATTAATAACTTAATTAATAAAAATACTATAATTATAATATTAAATAATATTATAAATTTATAATATAATATCTCATTGTATAAGTAATTTTTTTTTCTTAGTTGCATAATATGGAAAACAATTTTCTATTATCTCTTTTTTTTTTCATTACTTTTGTATTTCATGTAATTTGAATTTAAAAATTTTTATTTTTAGTATAATGAGATTATAAGTAATTTTTTTTTCTTAGTTGCATAATATGGAAAACAATTTTCTATTATCTCTTTTTTTTTTCATTTCTTTTGTATTTCATATGATTTGAATTTAAAATTTTTTATTTTTAGTATAATGAGATTACCACTTAATTATTTATATAATTTATTATAATTAATTTTATTTAATATTACATGAAATTATAATTATAATATTATGTAAACTTAAAATCATACATATATTATTAATGTTGAAAAAATAATTTACTCTTGTATTTTTCTACAAATTAATAAAAATAAAATAAATAATAAATTCTTAATATATATGCTAAGCACAGAGAAAAGAGAAACCTTTTGGGAAATATAGTGAGTAATTCTTGGTAGGCCCGTATAAGAGGACAAAAGCTTACATCTAACCCTTTACTTTATTAAGTTCATCACTTTTAATCCAGCACCTTATACATTAAAATTTTTAACTCCTCAACTATTTAATCTAAAATAAATAACCATAATTGACTTCAATTTAACATAAATAACCTTACAATCCTTTGCCAATGACCTAAATAGTTCAATAATAATATTCTTCCATTAAAAGTAAGAAATTATAAATTTAAATCGCATGACATGTAGATAAGATGAGATAAAAAAATATAAAAGATTTACTTTTTATTGTGCAATTAATATAAAAAAAAATCTTACAATCCTTTTGTGAGGTACGTGATAATTTAATATAATATTAATTTAAAGTTATTTACTTTAAATCAAGTCATATGTTTAGGAGTAAAAAGTTCAATGTGTAAAATAAAGGACTAAAAATAATGAATTTAATAAAATAAGGGGCTCAATGCAAGTTTTTCCCCAATAGGTCATGATATGCATGACATGAAAGATTGGTATGGTCATGCACCGAAGGTGGCAATGGATGCCAGCTCACCATAAAGATTTACTTCCATACATAAAAAAATTCCATTAATTGAAAATTCCTTATTTCTTTTCCAACTCTTAAATGCTGGTTTTGACTGCTTAGGAAAAGGTGAATCGCACAGTGCCAATAAGAATAGAATAAAAGGAGGTGAGGGAAAGAGAGCACCACCCCACTGAATCGAGAAAAAAACTCAACAGGTTTTGTACTTTTATTTATTTATTTATTTATATTTTTCTCAATTATATTGTGTTTTCCAATGAATAAAAAAACACGATTTCTTTTTTTTAATTCTCTAATGTTGTTTTGAGATATGTGTCGGGCAAACATCGTAGCCGGTTCTTTTTACACTGTTTTTCACTCTGGTCTGGTCTATATTACTGGGCTTTGAGGGTCTGGGTAATGCCCATTTTTAAGTTGTCATAATATAGAGGGAGAAATCAGAGCCATAGATTTGTGATCTTTTTTCTTCTGGGTTCGGCTGCTGTATCTAGCAGCATCTAACCCGCTTTCTTGCCTTTTTTTGTTTCTCTGATAAGGAACCAGCAAGGAGCGTGGGTGTGTTTTGTGTGGGTGGATTCCTGTGCGGTAGTTGAAGAGTTTAGGGAGGTTTTGGAGTGGATTTATGTCGGCTGGTTCTGATTTGGCTTTGATTGGGGCTCCGGTGAAGCTCTGCCTTTCTTCTTCTTCAGCTGTGTTTTCTCGGTTCTTCTGTGCTCTGGTTGCTTTTTGTTGGGCGATTCTCTGCTTCTACAAGCAGGGGTTGAATCTGGTGTTCCCGTCTGTTTCGATGCGTTTGAGACCAAAAAGGTACATGTCGGAAAACCCTTGTTTGGTTATTTTGTGGAGTATTTGATAAAACCCATGTTTGGTTTTTAGGGTTTTAGAGGTTTGTGGTATAAAGATCTGGAATTTTATTTCATATTGTTCTTTATGTATTTGGGGATTTAGGGGTTTCTGATATGAATCTATGATGATGAAATCATGTTGTGCTTTTTCGTTTATTTTTCAGTTTCTTATTGTGTGTATTTTGCTTGATTTCATTTGCAGGACTTGTTCTGGAGCAGAGTGTTTTGGGGGTTTTCACATAAAACAACATTTCTTCTGCCTTTTATTGTTTCTCAGAGGGGCTCATACTTGATAAAGTCTTTGATAATCTTGCGATCCGCTTTCCTTTGATATTTTCTTTGCACTTCCTAAAACAATTTTTCCTTGAGAGGGGAGTTTTGGTGAGTTTTAACCCCTTTTTTTCTGCGAGAATGTCTTTGCCCCTGAAGCCATCCCTGAAAAGGGTCGGGAAAATCCGACCCATTTTGAGTGAAGAACCCAAAATGACCAGAAAAGTTCGTGTAATTTTCCAAGATCCTTATGCTACTGATTCATCTTCGAGTGAGGATGAGTGTGAGGGGAGACCATGCTCTGAGAGGGTCCAAATGCGGAAGCGTATCTTTCGTGAAATCAATCTTCCTCTCCCTGGTTTTGCTCCAGTGAAATCTCTGCAATCTGAGAGTTCCTCCCACGACAGCAACTCCAAGCCTGGCACACACCGGAAGAGGGTTTTGGCTAAAACCCCTGATGGCACAGCCCAACAGGCCAATGTGAAGAAACCTGCTGGTATTCGTCAGAGGAAATGGGGCAAATGGGCTGCTGAGATCAGGCACCCAATAACCAAAAAGAGGACTTGGTTGGGTACCTTTAATACTCTGGAAGAAGCTACCCAGGCTTACAATGCTACGAAGCTCAAATATAAGAAGCTGGAATATGATCTGGCCATGGCTGCTGTCCCTGGTAAAACAAGCAACATGTCATCTTCAGCTGCTGCTTCTCAGAACAACGCTGCTTCCTCTGCTGTCGAGGAGTCCGAGAGTGCGGTCTCCCTCACCTCTCCATCATCAATTCTAGATCACAACTCCTCCTCATCAGCCCTTGAATTGGATACCTTGGTATCCACTCTTGTTGTTTCCAACAACAATGATGACACTGATCTGATCATAGAAGGTTTTGATGCCAACTTTGAGGATCTCCCCATTCCTGATTTCGGCGATGAGACGTTGGTGTCTGGTTCCATTGAGGACCTCAACTTTGGTGCAGAGTTTGATGATTTGTTGTTTGTCAATGACTCTGGGAGGGTTTTGGATGATTACTGCGGCATTGAAGAGCTGAATATATCAGGAATACAGGGCGATGACCCAAGTGAGCTACCTGATTATGACTTCAGCACTGACGACTTCCTCCTTGCTGATGACCCCCACAACATTGCTTCCCCATAAGTTTTGCAGCTAGTTTTTAGTCAAATAATTTCCATATTGTTAGTTATCTGTAGTTAATATTATGAATAGCAAGAACAGATATCAGGGATCATAACTTTGAGTTCCTGGGAGAGTAGTTTCCCTATTTCCAAGTTGGGAGTTTAATTTATTTGTTCGTTAAGAGAAGAAGAGATGCATTAGGAGGATGAGCATTGTCATGGGGGGGACAATAGTCTCCTTTGGGTTTTTCTGTGCCGTTAGAGCCGTCCAAGGGATTCTGTTCTTGTTTCACAGGACTTCTGGATCTGTTGCTGAGTGTTGTCTCCCTGATACAGAGATTTTGGATTCACTTTTTGCTAAATTCTGGCATCTCTAGTTTTGTTTAAGGATATTATATGAAATGCAGAAAAAACTTGTTTCATTCATCCCTCAAAACAATCATACCCTGATGTTTTCGAATCCATTCTGGTCTGTTTGGTTCATGCATTTTCAAAGCAATACTGTTGTAGCTTGGGTCTGAAATTTAGAAATACATGATATGCTTTGATTCTAATTTTCGGAAGTGGGTCATTTCGATTCTTTGATGGCGGTGTTGTATCATGTATGTGGTTATTATGTGGACAGGTGAAGGAAGTTGGGGTGAGGTTTGTGGTTGTGAGAATCCCATTTGTAAAACGTGGAGACTCGTACCGACTACCGGGGAGTGTTGTGTGGGCCAAAGGTGAATTTCCCTTTTCAGATATTTTGCCCTTTTGCTAAGCAAAGCTTATCTTATAGAAATATAAATATAGGCCTGAAGATTTTTTTTTTTTTTTTTTAAATGTTAGTTATTCTACAGTCCTTTTCGAAGCTAGCTGGATCCCAATTGAAAGTACGTCAATCCTTCAATCGCATGTATGTATACGGAATATCATTTAATGAGACTAGGTGGGTTGGCGTTGCTGTTTGATAATGTGCTAACAGCCACTTAAATCATGAAGCTTTTATTTCTTCTTCAAATTAACCTTATTATTTATTTATTTATTTTCAGTTCTGCCTGCAGAGTCCAAGCTCTGGAAATACCTAAGTATCATTACCACGTCAGACTCATTGAACTGTTTTAATATTTTTATAGTTTAGATTACATTTTTTTTTATATATTCTAAACTAAAAAACATTATTTTCTCAATTTATTAGGGTGGAATTTTTTGTCCTTCAAATACATTTGAAATAGGTGACAAAAACTTAAATAATATAATAATAAAAAAAATTTTAAATAAAAATAAAAATATCTCTTATTATATAATTCATAATAATAATTAAAAAAATAATTACTGATACACATCATCTTTACGGTTAAGATTTTTCGTTTTGTGACTCAGCGTCATGTGATGTGTGTCCACCATCATTTTAAGATTCTTATGTTTATCCAAAGGATGATGGTAGAGTGACAATATTTTTATATTATATTTTAATATAATTTTTTTATAT